GCCCGCTTCCGGGAGGGGCATCGTGGCGCCTCAGTGTCGGCCCCTGGCCTGAACTGGGGCAGGACCTGGGGGGAGGCACCGGGATTAGGGCCGCAAGGGAGAAGCCAGAGCTTCCAGGTGGGGCGGGCTGCCCCTTCCTCAAGTTGCCTTAGTCTGGTCTCTTGTTTAGGGGATTCTGGTTTCAGCGGTTTGGTGCAAAACAACCCTGTTCCGGAAACAGGAGTTCCTGGTAGGGAGCAGACCCCCAAGGCAGAAGGCGATAACCGGGGACGCTGGAGGGCGACGGATGTGCGGGCCAGGCCTGCCCTGTCACTTAACCCGGTGACAGCCTCCAAGTTCGTGAGCTGCTGGGATCTCATCTGATGCAGAGTGTGGCCAACCAGCCCTGTCTCTGATTTGTCTTGAGCTTTAGGTCCTGGCCAGGCACCAACTGGAGTTTTTTATTTTTTATTTTTAAATTTTTAATTATTTTTGGATTTTTGCAACAGAGTCTCACTATGTAGTTGAGACTGACCGGGAACTCACTGTAGGCCGGGCTGGACTCGAACTCTCAGTGATCCTCCTGCCTCAGCTTCCCGAGTGCTGGGATTACAGGCGTGCGCCACCACACCTGGCTTGGAGGGTTTTTTTGGTACCGGGGATTGAACCCGGGTCTTTGCACTTGCTTGCAAGGCAGGCCACCAAACCGCTGAACTAAATCCCAGCCCTGGCTTGGAGTTTTTTATTACTTTTTGCTGTGCTTGGGATAGATAGAACTCAGGCCCTCTTGCATGCTAGGAAAGCATTCTGCCACCTCACCAGCGCGAATGATCTTCGTTGAGTCTCTTTCATACCTTTGAACCAATACCCTGTCAGACCTGAAGCACAAATCTTATAATCCCAACAGTCTGGGATGCTGAAGGAGGAGGATTGCCCTGAGTTTAAGACCCTGTCTGAAAAAAAAAAACAAAACAAAGATAAAGGGTGGTCGATGTAGCTCAGTGCAAAGGCTATGGGCTCAGTCCCCAGTACTGCAGAAATAAACCCCCTCAGCCACCCATGTTTGAAGTCTAGCTAGGGTCGATGACTGGATCACCCAGGGGATGGCCCAGCCTGTTTAACGCTACTTTTTCCCCCCTACTTGGTGCCCTATTTAATTCCTTTTTATTTCCTGACTGGTTTTTTTTCTTTTTTTTTTGAGACGGGGTCTCACTTTTAGTTCAGGCTGTCCTTGAACTCATTGTAGCCCAGGCTGACCTCGATCCGACAGCAATCTTTCTGCCTCAGCCTTGTGGGTACTGGGACGACAGGCATGCGCCACCATGCCTGGCCTGTTTTTCTTTGTGTTTTTTCCATCTTACAGTCCCATCTCTGAAGTAAATTAGTCTTGGGCAAATCTTGACCGAGTCACTTCACTGTAAAACCTAATCATCAATTCCCCGTTGCTTAGTATAAATGCATTGCAAATGCCCAGGGCCAGATCAGCCCTTCCAGCTTTGTGTGCTGCCTCTACTAAAGCCACCCAGCCAGCCAGCCATTCTCTCGGACCCTGGAAGATCTGGTACTATTTATTTATTTATTTATTTATTTTTATTTTATTTTTTGAGACAGGGTCTCACTATGTAGTTGAGACTGACCTGGAACTCACTGTGTAGCCCAGGCTGGTCTCAACTCACAGCGATCCTCCTGCCTCTGCCTCCTGAGTGCTGGGATTATAGATGTGTGCCACCACACCGGGCTGGTACTAGACTGTTCCTTTTTTTTTTTTTAGGACCTTGCTCTTGCGAGGCAGGCACTGCACCACTGAACTAAATCCCTGGCTCAAGGACTGTTAACTTCTTGGTGGTCTTTTCTTCTTTGGTGCCTGGGAAATAAACCCTTCCTGTGTTTCTGCCAGTAAGAATACTCTGGCCTAGTGAAAGATTATGTCTTTCCAGATATCCGAAGACTGAAACTCAGCATTAAGGCCTAAATTCTAGTTCATTCATTTAACCAGTGCTGTTCAGCATGTATCTACTCCATGCCAGGTTTTGCTTCAGATATAGGGCAGGGCTGAGTGATGGGGGAGCTTCTCAAGTTTGGGTTCATACCATCCAGGTAACAGGAACAGCAAGTGAAGGTGAGGGGGTGCAGCAAAACCAGTCAGGAAAGAACAGGAAGATTCAGTCTGAATGTAGAGGGGTGAGATCATGAAGGGCCTGGTGATGGTGGTATGGACCTGGTTTATGTTCTTGCCATAGTAGGGAGCCTGTGCAGGGCTTTTTCCTCAGTACTGTGGATTGTATCCAAGGACACTATACCACTGAGCTACATCCCAGCTCTTTTTCTAAGTCTTTGTTTGAGATCATCTTACTGTGCCCTTCAAGCTGGCCTCCAACGTAAAGCAATCCCTCCAGTCTTAGCCTCCCAAATTCTGGAATTGCAGGCATGTATCACCATGCCTGGTTTCTTTTTTCTTTTTCTTTAAGACTGCCTTGCTATGCAGTTCAGCTTACCTTGAACTCATTATGTAGCCTATGTTGGCCTCAGAGACAATCCTCCTGCCTCATGTGCCACCATGCCCAGGTCATTGGTTGGTTTTGAGCTGAGCAGTGCCATGCTGTGTCCAATCTGACTTTGAATGATTTGCAATACAGGGGTTGAGCCAGGGCCTTTGGACTGAACTACATCCCAGACCTTTTCAAAAAAAATTTTTTTGAGACAAGGTCTCACTAAATTACCCAGGCTGGGCTTGAACTTGGAGTTCTCCTAATTTAGCCTCTGGAGTGCTGGCGTTACAGGCAGGCACCATCATGCTCAGCTCTGACTTAGCTTTAATAGGCTGCCATTGGCTGCAGTGGATAGAAAGGTGGAGGATGGGAGCAGGGAGCCAGGGAGGGAATTGGGTAAAATATGCCACCCAAGTTACAAAATGCAGTGTGCTCCCACGAGGGAATATTGGCATGAAAAAGAATGGATAACTGATCCATGCTGTAATGTCAGGGAACCTCAAAATTATGGTGTAGAATGAGGAAGCCAGGTGCTGGCCACACAGTGGGTGATACTGCTTGCATGGTCTGGCACAGACACATCTATAGAAACGAATCAGATTGGTTCTAGGGATGGGGGTGATGCTAAAGGGTGCAGATGCTTATTTCTGAGGCAGTGAAAGCTGGCTGTAGTGGTGATTGCCTATCTCCTTGACTGCACTTAAGATCCACTGAATCCTGTGCTCTGCTCAATGAATTATGTGAATATTTTAGCAGGGCTGTTCTATTTAAAAGAAAAGGAAGGTGGTAGCAGCTCAGGGCCAGTGTGGCAGCACGTGTGAGAAGTAGCCAGATGGTCCTAGATGGCCTGGTGTGTGGCTAATCTGGATCAGAGGGGAGAGAGGGAAGACAGCATGAGGATTGGGTTGCAGTGTCTGAGGTGGAGCACAGGCCTGTGGGGAGAGATGTGGAGGATGCAGCTGGTGTGAAACTTGGTCTGGAGTCAAGGGAAGAGGTGGGCTGGAGATGGAGTTGGGGTATCATTGCAGAACTGGTTAAAACTCTAGGATTGGGGAAGGTGGCAGAATGAGTGACAAGAGGGCCAAATCCAGGGTTTTGGGGCCTCGGGTCAAAGCTGGGGGATAGGAGACCAGTGAGCTGGATTGGTCCCTGGCTCTGTGTATATGGGAGGGGGTGGGGGCACTTCATGCTAATTCCATTTGCCATTTCTTAATTCACTCAGCTGGCCCTTGGGAGGCTTTTCAAGAAGGCACTTAATTACTCCCCTGTGTAGACCACAAAGAGCAGGGAAATGGGGCTGGGCCACACCCCCTGCTCTGTGTACACTCCCTTCCTCCCAGCTCCCAGCAGCCACCCTGTAGGGACCGTGCAGGCCTGGTGGGTCCTGGCACGGGTGGGGCAGCAGATGCTCTAGTGTGGGAATCTAGGAGGTTCTTAGACTGAGGCTCGGGTATCAGGAAGGACGCAGATGCGTGTGCAGTCCTGGAGCAGCGCATTTCCTGGGGCAGCAGCCACGCTCAGAGGCTTGGGCCTTCCTGCGCCTGAGCAGCTAGAGGGGGAGGGAGCAGCAGGGGCCAGGCTAGGATGCTGGGAGGAATTGGTAGGGAGCTGAGGAAGACCCTGGGGCTTTTCCATTCCAGGCCAGCACCTAGCACTGAGCCACATCCCGCTGTACTGAGGAGCAGGGATTTCCCGAGTGGCATGGGTGGGGTCTAGTATGGGCTGGGGACAGACTGGCTGGATGAGTGTGGTGCTGTGGGGACAGGAGGACTCGGACTCACACACGGGAGGGAGCTGGTGGCTGGAGCAGAGGGAGCGGACAGTGGCACACAGTTGCAGTGTTGGTTTGCTCTGCCTTCTGGGCCTGTGCTGCTGCTTCCCTGGGTTGGTGGCTTTTCCGGCCTGCACCCCAGTTACTGCTCTTAGCTTTTCTTTTCTTCTGTTCTCAGCAGCATGGCAGAACAGGACGTGGAAAATGAGCTTCTGGATTATGAGGAAGATGAAGAGCCCCAGGCTCCTCCTGAGAGCACCCCCACGCTCCCCAAGAAAGACGTGAAGGGCTCCTATGTCTCTATCCACAGCTCTGGTTTTCGAGATTTCCTGCTGAAGCCAGAGCTCCTGAGGGCCATTGTGGACTGTGGCTTTGAGCACCCCTCAGAGGGTACGCCTCCCCATGGCCCTGCCTGGGTCTGTGCCCTACACCAGTTCTGCCCACCTGTGTGGTGTTATATATGGTACCACATCACTTTCTATAGCACAGCTCTGCTTCATGGAGCTGGAGGCTGCGCCCTGGCCTCAGATTTCCTGACCCCATCTCCAGGGCTTGGCCAGCCTGCCAGGCCTCTGCCACTCACAGGCACTTTCTCCTGCAGTTCAGCATGAGTGCATCCCCCAGGCCATCTTGGGTATGGATGTCCTGTGCCAGGCCAAGTCTGGGATGGGCAAGACGGCAGTCTTCGTTCTGGCCACCCTACAGCAGATTGAGCCTGTCAACGGCCAGGTGGGTGCTTCCCTTAGCCCCAGCCAACATGGCGGCAGAACTGTGATATTCCTGCTCCCTCACTATGGGCTGACATCGGGAGTACTGAAAACCAGAAAAACCGTCAAGTGCTGGTAGCTTACTTCCAGAGATAGGGTTGTTTCCTCTGAGGTATATTTCTTTGATGCGATTAGGGATCAAGAGCAGGTCCTTTGCTCTGAATTACATGCCCAGCCCTGTTTGTTTATGATTCTGGAAATTGGACCCAGGGTCTTTGCACCCCAGGCTGAGCTGGAACTTGGAATCCTCCTGCCACAGCCTGCTAGAGTGCTGGGATTACAGTTGTGGGCCAGTATGCTGGGTTGACATCGTGTGCTTTCTGAAGAGGGAATTACAGGGACTGTGATATCTGATCAGATTGTATTCTTCTGTCTTAGAACTGGGGGCTGAAAACGAAGCTCAGTGGTAGCCTTGTGCACGGCACTGAGTTCCATGCCCAGCACCAAAAAAAAAAAGTCGTGCTGGGTTTGCATCCCTTCTGAAGGTAGATCCTGAAGGGATTTAATGGACAGCTCTGGCCTGGCCCTGACGTCGGATCTTCAGAAAGGGGCAGGGAGATCTGGCATGGTACCTGCAGCATGTTGGCTGGGGAAGTCTTAACAATAACTGCCAGCCTATCCTCCATTGCTGGCCTTGCTACAGGTCCTGTGTCAGGGCGTGGGGGTGGGGCATGGCACTGGAACTGGGCCTTGGTGGCACTGTTGCCCTGGCAGGTGGGGACTGGATGGGGGTGGATTTGGGACCCCACCCACCAGGATGCTGTCTCCTGCTCGCTCCCAGGTATCAGTCCTGGTCATGTGTCACACGAGGGAGCTGGCCTTCCAGATCAGCAAGGAGTATGAACGCTTCTCCAAGTACATGCCCAGTGTCAAGGTGAGCTCTGGGCCTCTGCATGCTGCCTCGGCCCTGGCCCAGCAGCATTTACCAAGCTTGGCCAGTGCTGCCGCCTTTGAGGTTTGTGGTGGTTTATGCTCCTTAAGAGCCTGATGAATTATGCATAGCCCCAGGGGCCTGTGCCTGTCTCAGCCTAGGCTGCCTTTCCGTGGTGCCAGGCTTGCAGGCCTTCCTGGTTCTGAGGGACATGGGCTGGGTGTGGTGCTGATGGGGGCCGCCGTGCTGGGGTGTCAGCATGTTGTGGGGTGCACACCCGCAGTCCCACAGGTAGAGGCAACTTCCTGTGTGTCCATAGGTGTCTGTGTTCTTTGGGGGCCTCTCCATCAAGAAGGATGAAGAAGTGCTGAAGAGAAACTGTCCTCATGTTGTGGTGGGGACCCCAGGCAGGATTCTGGCGCTTGTTCGGAACAGGAGCCTCAACCTGAAGAATGTGAAGCACTTTGTGCTTGATGAGTGTGACAAGATGCTGGAGCAGCTGGGTGAGTGTCCCTGTCAGACCCTGGGGCCACCCCCCCCAGGTCCCAGAGCTAGTCTAGGGATGCCCTTGCAGGCTGCAGGTCCCACCAGCTGTCACCCAGGCAGCCAGAGCACAGCTCGAGGGAAGGCTCTGGTTTTGGCCACCGATGTGCTACCCACAAGCCCCAGCTGAGCAGGACTACAGGGCCCAGAGGAACCCTTGGCTTTTGGTGGTGTGAAGGCTCCAGTGAGCCCGCGGGCGGTGGGAGATGGGTCTGTGTCCCACAAGGAGCAGCCCTCACCCAGTGGCTTCTCTGCCTCAGGCTCCCCTTCCCGAAACGTGGCTTGAGGCACAGTGGCCCAGATGCCTGCGCAGGCTGTGTAAGTGGACCACAGCTACTTTCGCGCCTGCGCTCCCTGCCCGAGTCCAGCCCCTCAGGCACCAGGCTTCTCTTCTCACACCATACCTGCTGCTCACTGGCCTGGTTACCCTGCCAGCATCGTCCTGGCATGGGCCGGGAGGGTCTGGGCCATCTGGGTGGGGATTGTAGTGTGGGGGGCACTCACGGCCCCGTTTCTTGCTCCATGCAGACATGAGGCGGGATGTGCAAGAGATCTTCCGCCTGACACCTCACGAGAAGCAGTGCATGATGTTCAGTGCCACCCTGAGCAAGGAGATTCGGCCAGTCTGCAGGAAGTTCATGCAGGATGTGAGTAGGGTGACACCCGCCCGCCCGCGGTGGCCGTGACCTCAGCGCAGCAGCTTCGGCCTTCCCTGGGGCCTGGGCCGCGCCACGACACCCACACTGCCCTCATGGCACGGAGGATGCTGGGAGGCTGCAGAGGTGCCCACCTTTCCCTGTTTTGTCTTGCTGGGAGCTGAGCGTGGTCCATGTCTGCGCTGACCCAAGCCTCCATCCAGCTTTGGTAGAGCACTGTGTGGAGGTTGGGTGCTGCAGGCTCTCTGGGAAGCACCGCCGGAAGGAGCCCCTGGCTGCAAGGTTCTGGGCAGGCACCGCGCCCCTGAGTGAGCCCTGCGCATCCCTCCTGCTTCCCTTCTACACAGCCCATGGAAGTGTTTGTAGACGATGAGACCAAGCTCACGCTGCATGGCCTGCAGCAGTACTACGTGAAGCTGAAGGACAGCGAGAAGAACCGCAAGCTCTTCGACCTCCTGGACGTGTTGGAGTTCAACCAGGTGACCCCCCACCCGCGCGCCCGCCACATGCGCAGGCTGCGAGGTCTGAGTGGCACCGGCCTCACCACATCCCTCCCCTCAGGTGGTGATCTTCGTGAAGTCAGTGCAGCGCTGCATGGCTCTGGCCCAGCTTCTAGTGGAGCAGAACTTCCCAGCCATCGCCATTCACAGAGGCATGGCACAGGAGGAGCGGTGAGTGCTGGCTGCCACATGGCCAGGGAGTGGCACCCAGGACTGCAGGCTGGGACCTGTGTGTGATGGGTGGCCTCCTTGTCTCTTCCCCACCCAGCCTGTCACGTTATCAGCAGTTCAAGGACTTCCAGCGGCGGATCCTGGTGGCCACCAATCTCTTTGGCCGAGGGATGGACATCGAGCGCGTCAACATCGTCTTCAACTATGACATGCCGGAGGACTCAGACACATACCTGCATCGGGTAGGAGCCCACACCACAGGCTGTCCTCCCCACCACTACCTGGGAACAGCAGAGTGGGCGCTGGCCCTGCTTTGTCCGCTGCCTGACCTCAGCCTGTCTCCCTGCAGGTTGCCCGTGCAGGTCGCTTTGGTACCAAAGGCCTGGCCATCACTTTCGTGTCTGATGAGAATGATGCCAAAATTCTTAATGATGTCCAAGACCGATTTGAAGTGAATGTGGCCGAGCTTCCAGAAGAGATCGACATCTCCACGTACAGTAAGTGGTTGGGACTGGGCCACCTGGGCTCGGGGACAAAGACCTGCCCAGTCTCACTGCCTCCTTCTGTCTTTGCAGTTGAGCAGAGTCGGTAACCACACTCTTGGAAGGCCACTGCTGCCCTCCCTCCTTCCCGTGCATGTCTTCCAGCGACAGACGACAGATGGGTGTCTCTTTTTACTGTTGAAAAGCTGTAGATTTGTGTAAGAATACATTTTTATTATGGAAGCCTGGCTCCCACTCTGTGTGTGTTTTCGGTCGGTCCTCTGCCAGTGTTTCATAGGCGCCACAGGCCAGGCCATAGAGCCCCACCACCAGTGAGCAGTGCCACCTTGTGTATCAGTGTGATATTTAATTTTGTATCAACATTGAAAGGTTTACAGATAAACAAAAAACACAACATCACCACACCAACCTTCAAAACATGAGGCTTGCCGGGGATTTAGCTCAGCAGTTTGGTGGCCTGCCTTGCAAGCGCAAGGACCCGAGTTCAATCCCCAGT